TGATTTTGATATGCGATTCACAGTGACCACAGTTTGATATCACCATATGTTTCCAAAAATGCAGTGTTTGGATTGTATCAGATGAGGTGTGGGTGTTTCGGATGATAACCCTGTAGTTCGATTCAATTGTTTGACATCCATGCGCACACATGGCTGTTTATGCATGACCGTTTGCAAATATCAGGTGTCCCTGAGCAGTTTTAACATCAACGAGCACGTTGGGTTTGGTTAGTTCCTGAGGGGTGGGGAGATTAATCATTTGATCATTTGAGTCATCATTTAATCCAAAAGACATGTTTCTCCATGAATGGAGTGAACGATAAGAAGGTTAAGGAACAGAGTTAGCTCCATATGTACATTTGCAGAGCAGTTTCGTTGAACTTTGGAATGTACCACTGCAGCTTTGATATATCACACGGTTATACTAGTATGATCGATGACTGATTTACCGTAATATACAAAGCTTCCAGCTAATAACATAAGTGTAATATTAGTTTTAAATGGCTATGCAATTTTTCAATGTTATTTTGGAATTTTCACTTCTACTATTTATCAAAATGATGAAAAAATACGTTTCTACAATAAAAATCTTAATACGACTAACAGTCTCAGGATGAATAGATTTAGAGTTCGAGTTTGAGAACCGTAAACCTTAACCCCGATTTCCTTAAAGATCCAATACAGCCTGCGTGATATCTAACTAGAAGACAGTAAATCTTCCTATCACCAAAGTCCGGTGACAATATCTGGGTTTGAAACAAACAGCGCACTAGCCGTTCATGTAAAGTTCTGTCAATTTGATGAATTCCTTCTTTATATTAACCTTGATCGTTTACTACTCCTAATTGGTCGGATTACATTTAGAACGCACGAACTCAGAATGTCTATGGACTGCCTGCCCTTGTAGCTTCTGAATGCCCGCAACCAGATAAATTATCAACGATCCTCATTGGAAAATGGTTGATCTCTAAGCACAAAGTATTGGTATCAGTCAGAATATATACAAAGCCGTCTGTATTAAATTAATATCCTTTAAATATATATATTAGCTTAAAACTTCAAACAACTGTTGATATTTTAAAATGGAATACTGTTGCTGGTAACTTTAAAAGTAGTAGCGAAATGGCATAAAACTTTTGTCGCAATGAAAAGATAATTGACCATCCGGGAATGCTACCGTAAGCAACATCTGGATGCTTTATCTCCTTTGTTTGATCATAAAGGGACGCCGTTTTAAGGTTTAAATAAGGAGGATAAATATGGGATGATTTCTGCAGCTCATCGGTGAAAATTTTATTATATACATGATATTATAACCTCTTTTTCTGCCTGTTTGACTCACTGCCCTTTTTCAAACTGTACACAAATATTTCAAAGAATAACGACTATCAACCAAAAGGTCGGAAATATACGGAACATTGAAAGTGCATATATCAGATGGAACTGGGTGAAAGAAGTCCTTCTATACGACTGTACCCTATATGTTACATAGGCCGGTGTGCGGACAGTTCTTTGAATGCTGGAGTATTTGTAATTCTGAACCGCCTTTTATAATAATTTCCAGTATTGTTTGTACTGGACGACTGTCGGAAAACCGCATTATTGTAACGTCTGTTGATTTGCAAAATTTTGCCAAATCACATATCTTCCCGAGGCACTCGTAATGTTATATTTGGGGAATATGATGAATTTGACTGTAGGACTGTAGGATCTATGGAACGACCATTTTCCACCCATCACGTTTTCAATATATTTGCCACCTAGATATCATTTCAGATATGCCACGAACTATTTAATTCATGTGCGTTTGCAATTGGCAGTCACAATTGTGCAACTGGACAACAATACATCTTTCGTTTATGGTCGGAGGAGCGGAAACGACCAGGCAGGTGATTACCTTGATCAAATCAATCCTGTACTATATGGTTGACGAAGTCACCTGCCAAACCAAACATGAAAGACAATTGGACACTTTTCTACATTTCCATTTTATTGTCGATCATCAAGCTCATATCAGTTTGCAATCTATGCTTCAAAGTTGGCCCCTTCCCGCAGTTGAGTACAGTTTCTACGATTTTGAATCCCACCAAGTAAGATAATTTATAGTCGATAAAAATGAACATCATTACTGTCACTCAATAAGCTGTGATTGTACTTACTGATATTTTTAAAGTTGAACCCTCTCGCGAAATTCAAGTGCAGTTTTAAAATCTCGAAATGTTTTGTTCGAACTGTATGACGAAAGGCACTAATCTGGTACAAGCGGGGTTGGTTCATATTCGTAGGTCATCATTCTGAAAAGCTCATGCGGGCTAATTCACACGTAATATGTGCAGTTGTGGTCTTCATTAAGCTGGGACACTTCACCAAGCGGTTAACAAAACCAAGCTTAATGAACCACCAGAACATCGTCAACGAATGATTCATGTTTTTGCCAATTCGTATAATCAAATAACAACTTTCAAGGACCTAAGGCTACATTTTCACGCTACCCTTGTTGTGCCAGTAAAGAATCACTGCGGTTATCTGCACTGCTAATAGCATCATTCCAGAAAGAGGGCCTATAAATGAGGAGCAAATGGTAATTAAAATGATCATTATTTCTAATTTTATTAATCAAAAATATTAGCGTTATTTATCTTGTAGCGCATAGGCATTTGAAATGGGTGCTTCTAAAGTAGATACAGTTGCACTTTCAAAGCATGGCGAATTTCAAGGTAGGAGTGATATGTGAATTTCAATGCTTGACAATAAATTCAAAACCCTGGACACAGAAGCGCTCCAATTATAATACTACTATTTTTTATTTCTTTGTCGTTTATTAATTACAGAAAAGCAAAATACTCTTTCAGGAAGATAGTCGCTGTGATACAAATGCTGCCTGTAGAAATACAGATAAGAGGAAGGTGGACCTCCAGACCTCTAGATGGTTATTTGATGACCATATCACTCGGCCACTACCAACCAACCACAGCATTAAAAGTAATCAGTCCTCTGAAAAAATTGAACCTAGATTAACAATCGTTCGGAAGCAATAACAATAACAATACTTGATATCGGAGTTGAAAACACCATAAAAGCTCCAGATATATCACTAATAATGAGGCGATCATGCACATAATCAATTTGTACGCTCAAACAAAAAATGCACATCCAGTGAATTGAAACAATTCAATGCCTGGAGGGAGAATACTTATAATAAGCGAAAGCTCAACCAATAATGATCTCTACTCTACAGCGTTGTCAATGAAATTATATCACTCACAATAGGTTATATTCTTCCTGGAAGTTTATGATTTTTTATTGCTAGACCACCAATTTTGCGAAAATCAAAAAAGTATTAGTACAAATGCAGTGATACTTCGTTTGAACTTAAAAAACAAACTTATTTCAATTTGGAATTGATCGGGACCTTGGAGAAGATCATTGATAATGAATCTTCGAAATGGCTTAATTAAACTGTGGATCTGACAAAAGATTGTGCTTAAAAAAAGATGATGGTCATTCCATACTACTCAAATGACGGTTGGGTTCAGTACAGTGCGATCTAACCTGAGGCAGTACTTTCGGGAATAGCTCAACTGACCAGCCCCTTAGTTGGTAGCTTTTATGCCACTATATAAACCGAATAGGGTTCATTGAGTAATTATAGATAGCTTTCTTCTGGAAAACCAGAAAAAAACAGCTCTTCATCATTTCAGTAGTTGTTTGTGTTGATAATGGTGTTGACATCACAGAAAAGTTTATTATTACTAGGAGAATCATATGTTTCACTTTTATCGCTGAGAGTATTTTTCCAAATGTGTGACCTTCTGACAAAACAGCGCTAACAAACTACGCTTCCTTGGAATAGAATAAGCTCTTAATTTACTTTTTCTCTTAAATATTTTTTTCGTTATTAGTATTTCTCAAATTTATCGGGCTTTGTGGAATTTTAACTTTAAAAAAAACGAATCACTTTTTTGTAGAATAAAATTTCTTGGGTCCAATCGATACACTATTCTGGAATATTCGGGTGTGGAAAAATGCTCCTCCCGGAAATCTTACCAGACACTTTGGATAGAGTAAGTAATAAGCATATGTATTTTACAAATGTACAAATGGGTTTCTTATGATTGCATCAAAAAAAAGTTTAAGATGCAAAGTTTCATAAGTTGCAATAAAAGATTTGATCCCGTCCGTTTTCCCCCTTATCACCTAAGTACCGAGAGTAACAAATCACAAACTGACTTCTGTAATGCTAGATCATTGCAGACGGGCTCAAACTGAGTGGAATTTTTATCCTCTCGTTTACATAACCAATCACATTCCCCCGATTCGACCGATACATTTATTTGATTATTTCTATACACTCCGTGTTCTGCTTTTATCTCTCACCTTGTGCACGACACATGTTGATTTCAATAATAGCCTCAATAGATATAAAATGGATATCAGTGAGGATTAAAGATTTGCTATCCTCCAATTGTTATTTCAGTGTTGAATCCAATTTTGAGGGACAATCCGCAGAAACTCTGATATTCTCTCGGAATGATTCTATTTTCTAGAATCCCAGAAAATAAAAATAACCATATGCTTAGCTGAGTAGCTTTACTGTTCTACATTGTTAAACTTAACTTCTTACGCCTACTCACTCTAACCGGTCGTCAGTTTCACATTCTTCATATACATCCTATCTTACAATCTTTTCATAATCACACACATTGTACATAAACTTGCAGCCATACGATCCCGAACACATTTTTGCAAGCGAATCGGCCTCCCTCTATCACAACACAAACTGCCAGAAACTACTGCTCTGGGTTCGTAAACTCAATTTCCAGATATTCTTTTCTTCATCTCTATAATATACAACTAAACTAACTTTTATTTATCTGGCAAAATTTGTATTTGAAAAAGTTTAATTTTCCTCAGCACTGATCGTTTATGTAAAAATCAATTCGTTTATAAAAGTTAAAAGCAGGTTTGGTGATTAAAGAATACAATCGTACTTCACGCAGGTGACGCAGGTGAAATATCATAACCACATTTATTTGTAAACTGCTGCAGCAAAAAACATCTGATAGATCTGATAGATAACATCTGATAGATAACAGCTGGAATCCCAGTGTTTTTGGATTCGTGTTTATATTACTATCAACGTTTATAAGTAAACAAAGCACAATGAAAGAAAACCAAAGAGGTCTTTGAGACAAGATGATATTGCCATATAAATCTTTATGACCTACAAAGGGGTTGTTTATCCTGTTGCAAACTCCTCATCAATATGTCCTTTTTGTGTCCCCACCTGGATTCGAACCACGAATCTTCGGGTCGATAGTTTAAATCTTTACCCAGAATCACAAAGCTGACGGTAAACACCTTGTACGAATGGACGAATTAATCTGGAAGTTGGATGTTTAGATCAGCCATTTTTTTTCAGGCACAAGGCACAGTTCATGATTTTAATCGGTGAACAGTAAACAGTTTCCCAAGGAGTGAAACGCACACCCAAAATCATTAACAGTGCCCGGTGCCCATGAAATTCCGAATAGGTTATTCTAAACGTTCACGTTCTACAGTAAGACTGCCCGTTTTTATACACCAGAGTAACGTTGGGAAAGCAATTTTGAAAAGTTTCTAACCTAAGTTTTCGAACTTCGGTAAAAAAAAGTTCATCGGATTGTCATATCTTGTACTCAAAGAGTGATCTATTTCCCCTTTCCCTGCCTCAGGTCATCGCACTCGATTCGGACCTATTATTCAACGCAGATATCAGAGAATTATGGAACTATTTCGGAGAGTTTTCTTTCACTGAAGTTAGTTTCACACAAATAGAAATAATATAGTTATATTTTGTTATATAAGAGAGGTAAAGAGAGTTTCTTTTGTCCTACTGCTACCCAGATTGATACAAATTTCTATTTAAAAGGAATGTAACAACTGAGTAGAGAAAATATATTTGTAGTTTACGTAAACATATCCGGTATGCCAAATACATCACAATAAATATTACGCTGTTTATATATAAATCGGTATTCAATCATAAAAAACGTAAACCAATGTTTCGGGAAACAAATCACACTGTGAATGTGACCGAGGCATTCCGTCCCCTGTATCGGGTTCGTGGTCGATTATCAAGGCAGGTTCGCTGTCGTATACTAGCCACAGCGGAAGCGGTAGGAATTCGGCTGCACCACCCCCCTTTGTGTGCCCAAAAACAATTTGTGCAGGCGCTTAAGCTCCCCTGGCCCACCCCCTATACACCTCATATTCCGAGTGGTCCCAACGATCGGATGACCTAACAATCATACGATCATTGAGAATTCCATATCCGGTCCCAAGATGAACTTAGCCCCAGATAACCCATGAGGTTATTTTCCCTTTCCCGAAACATTTGTTTACGTTTTTTATGATTGAATACCGATTTATATATAAACAGCGTAATATTTATTGTGATGTATTTGGCATGACTACGAATCATTGAAAACGAGCTTGTTCGCCACTCTTTGTTCTATTTGAAAATGTGCTCTGTGGGACTGTTTAGACAATATCCGGTATGCTTCTGAGTTGTACATCGACTTCAGTTAGATGACCTTTACTTGACGTTGTGACCATTAATTAATATTATCAAAACATCTAGCAAATCGTCAAAAGATATTAATTGAGCTCTGTTACTGACTTCTTTACCAACCCGTGTTTTATGAAGTTTACAGATAAAACATTTCGAGCAACTCTAAGGCCGCAGTGACATTCTGCGCAAAGATTTATTGTAAGATTATACAGGCATCTCGTCAGAAGTTGTTAGATGTTTCAGTGCCCAAAACAAAGCGATTTTGAGCCAACCTTAAACATATTTTTCATTTATTTGACATACCGATGTTGCAGTTGTAAGTGGACATTGAGATAAATGATGAAATTTGATGCGTTAAATAGTTCTCACTCAGTTTATCCTAAATACTTTATTGGCTAAGCAACAGATTTAAAACTCTCGCTCATGATAAATGGAGCAAGATGATTAGGGCTTTCCCAGCTTATGAAACACAAATTTCTAATACTCAGACTTTCTGACGATAAGGTATTATAAATTTTTTAATAGATTGCGGGAGATTGAGAAATCCCCTCACTCAGCTTTCATCTTGATCCTGTCTGATCTAAGTACGTCAAAATGCTACTACTGCTAGGTCAGATTTGTTGATTAATTGAGACATACGTTCTAGTGGGCAGTGGTGGTCAGCCGTTAAGGTATTACCTTTACAAACATTAACTGGTATTAAAATGCGATGAAAATGTTTGTGCCCATCAAGAATGAACAATCTAATGGACTAATCTAAGCTTGACACTATAACTTAAATAGTATTTTTCAAATCACGAAATATAACCATTGTTTAATAACACAATGTAGGCGGAAATGTATTCGGTGAATTCCTTTTCAAGCCTTTCCAATCACATTTATATGTAACAATTTCAATAGGATCGAACAGAAAGGTGGATGAGTCATGTGTTTGGTAATGAGCATAAAAGAACTCCAAATTTTTACACTGTTTGGATTATGTAACCAAAAGTCGCTATGTTACGTCACAATCATGTGAACAGGCGATGTTCTCTTCCCTTAGTCAGGAGAGCTTGAGAGCTTCGATCAGTTTTCATTGTGCGCATAGCTCAGGAAGCCTGAGTCAAATGCTAATTGCCCCTACGGTTTTTAACGTCCGAAACCGTATTGTTTTCAAGGGTTATGAAGAGACTCGATAAATGATTTTAAATGCCGAGCGCATGTTAACTAAGTGTTCCGTTTCCACGAGATGAGCGACGATTGAGCTTGACACAGCTCTACTCTCACCCTGTGTGAGCCAGTGGGGATTGTGTTCCTTGATCCGTTGATATAACTGCCTTGTCGTTCGACCTATATCAGTTGCACCAGGGCTATTAGTTGTTTTGAACAATATCACCGTTATGTAGTTGATATTTCAGAACATACATTTTCAAGTAAGGTTCTCCTCACTGGTTAAAGTCTGTCATCTAAAGTATCTTGTGAACAGATTCGCCTTGCCGTCTGCAGGAGATAGACGACGAGGATGGGAGAAAGCTATGAAAATTTATGTACTGTCGACTCTATATTGTTTTTCAATAAAAATTTCTTTGGGGCGTCTAGTCAGATAAACATCGGAAAACGGAAGGCAATCACTCTCTTTGGGTTCGGTTATGAACTTAATTGACAAAAAAGCTGCGTCGAATTCTGACTCAACAATGGCATGATAAGTGTTCATGTTAGCCACGAAAAGATATCAATATTAGGAAGTAAATAAAAGATGAATGATAAAATATATGTTCTCTTTATTTTGCTTCAGGCGATTGGCATGACTGTTAACCAAAGCCCGTGGTACAAAATCAAAGAAGCAATGGTTTGGCCCGCTATCGTAAGTTACAAAATAAACAACTACCAAACGTAAACGTTGAACGCTCAAACGGGTTTTGAAATGGTTCTGTACAATGAATATTTAAAAAAATGGTTGGCGAAAATATTAGTCTATCGAAACTAAACAACAAAAATGGTCAACCATTTGTTGACTTTAACTCGACAATGATAACGCTTTCAAATGAATGAATGTTTTTGCGCGACCGATATTTTTACGTAATTCAAATCACAATTAAAACAATACAACCTTAATTTTCCCTACAGGGACAGGGATATAACACTGGTGTGATGCTATTAGACTTGAAAAAGCTACGCCAAACAGGATGGATGCAAAGATGGCGTCAAGTGGCAATGGAGGAAACGAAAAAGCATGGACATGTTTATTTGGCCGATCAGGTGAGATGAGACATTTTTCAACTCTTGATAAAAGTATTATTGTCATTGTACTCAGGTGTGAGTTCAATCAAGCAAGTAAATAGTAACCTAAGAAAACTCTTATAATGTCAAAAGCAAATGAATTTTGATAATCACCTAACCGTACAGTTAGTCCAAATCTGGGATGGTCAGAGTTGTTTGGAAGTAGTCTAATCTTGACAGAGGTCAGAACAGTTGTCGGATATTTTTGGTGACCTGGTTTATCTATGATTGTTCGATATATGTGTGCATCTTTGCCTGTGAATAAGGATTGCATTAATACATTTAGTTAGCCAGTGGGTAAATATCAGTTTTGTAAACAATCACTACTAACTTATGGGCATCGGCCGATTGTTCTCCTTTTTACTTCTATCTCCAACAATATTATACAGATCATTCAGACACCAACTTTCACTTAAAATTAGCATTATTTTACTCAATGGAATGCATTTCATTTATCCACCATAGTCTGCCGCGGTATCCTCATTGGTTTCCACCGCGGGTGTATGTATGCATTGAGAAATATTCCATTTAATGATAGTTCCCCCAAGAAAAAGTTTCCGTTGTCACAAATTATACTTGTCTCCCTCTCAACTATAATCAAATGCGCATAAACAAAAATCATTCACATCTAGTGGACCAAACTATTTCAACCACACTCTGAGTCAAAAATTAACGAGCTCGATGAAAGGACCCTGAAATTTCTAATCATATATGCACTGGGAGTAAAGTAGTCTGACCAGTATAACACACAACGAGAAACGACGAGTTACTCCATTCAGTTGGGTAATACGACACCTGTTCACCTGTGCGGGGTTGTCACAAACAACTGCCAAATATCCGTAATCGATGCTTGACTAAAGAAAGTAGCATAATCTTATACATAATACACTTTTTCAGACCTGATAACTGATGTAACTTTCGGCACTCGGTAGTCTGTGCCTCGAAATTAATTGTGAAAAGGCACTTATAATGAAACAAGCCCCGAGGTTGACAAATGTGGCGTTGTTGATGCGTATATTTTAAATTTAAATCAGTATACATGTTTGACTCCATACTGAAGCAATCACCGTACAATGATTTATTTTGAATGTTTCGCTATTTTCGCGTCAGTTACTCGTTTAAACGGCAAGTTTTCTCTCAAATATAATTCTCTGAAAGGCAAAAAAATTAAACTTGTATTTATGTTACTTATAAGCATTTCGTTTTCTGGAATCTTACAAACAACACTCATTTTGAATCAAAACGTTTCTACTTCAAATTTAAAACTTTTAGCTCAAGGCCAAACAATCGATTACTAAAATCTTTAGCTTGCATTTTACAGAGAGCCAACACTTGCTGATTTTTACAAAACAGCGAATGTCATCTGTAATAAAACAACTAAAGTAACAGAAAAGGAAACTTTTATATATGTACGCACACCAGTTACAGTATAGCAAGGGTTGATTTAACACCAGCAGCGGCGTACCATTTCTGTTATTCTAGGCAGGTTCTCAAACTTGGTGTTTGCTTTAAGGTGTAGAAGATGCTATTTCATCCGTTTTGTTGTAGATGTCACTTTTTGTCACACTTCAGGCAATATTTGCTCGCTTGTTCACAGGACCTTATGAATGCTGCAATTGTACGTCAGCCCTATTTGCTATACACGTTGCCGTGTGAATGGAATCTGCAAATAAACGATTGGAATGAAGCCCTCCGTTGTCCGGTTGAGCAGCCGTACACCAGACCGATCAACCTGTTCAGGTCACGTTCGAAAACGTTCAAGATAGCTCACTTGAACACAAAACGAAAATCAGAGTTTTTGGCCTCCGGCCTGAACTTTACCAGTTCCGTGAATACTGGTCATCCAGAAAGTGAGAGATTTTGATGAAAAAGCCAAGCCACTTTGGGTTGAGTTTCCTTTATTCGCGTTCAACAACAACTTTAGAACACAAACCCTTTTTGTACTTTAGTTATTTTTATTAAAAACCAAAAGACAAATCTTATTTTTATCACAATAACCTTGTTTGCAACACCGGGTAACCAATGGATAGACAGCTCTTTCAGAGCCAGTCCAATGAACAATCAGTGCTATGATTCGGTGTTTTGTAAGTGGGTTAGATGCAACTAACAGCAACAAACGTGACCTGATGGTCTTGGTAGAATATTTCATAGTAAGTAGTATGTGAATGACTGCACAAAATTTCCCAGGAAGTGTACACTTCCTGGGTACAAGTATATTAATGAACTGACAAAAGATTACTGGATACGCATGCCTGACGAGCGGCAAGTACTGCAAAACCGGTCGTGTGCTACCGGGGAAATTTTGTCCAGTCATTCACACACTAATTATTATGACAAATCTTATATTAACCTTTGTCCTCGGTGGTTCTGTGCTAAAATTGTTACAATCATTCGGGATGTAAGCGGGATTGATAAATGCATAAAGCACAAAGCGTGCTCTCAAAGAGGATTGGTTCAGGGACTGCCTTTCCCATGAGCTAAAAAGATTGATCTTGCAGTGCATTATCAAGTTATTGAATTAACTTAGCACGATGCATTGCGTCTGCCCAACGCGAATCGTCCAGGTTTGTTTGTCTACCACTCTCCTCTTACTCCAATGTGATCCGACTCAACTGACCTTCATTGACTTATCCGTGTTAACGAATCTGGAAGCAAAAAAGTGCGAAGGCTGACCTGCGTGTCACGCCCTGATCTTGTTCGTGAGCATTTTATGTGAGGTCATACTAATGGTTATCCAATTCAGAAAGGGAAATTCTCAAGTGAACTATGCTTCGGTTTATTTAGCCCAGTATCATAGAAATAATTCGTCAATGGCAATTTAGATATCAAACTGAGTGATTCTTCCTCGAGCCATTGCAGTTACTATATAAAAAGGGAGAATGAGTCGAAAAATCCATGAACCGATTACCTATGCACAAACTGTGTGGACTTTAGAACATTAAATGTCACTGAGCAGATCGATGTGTGCTATATAATCTGAATATTGAAAGAATCTTTAGGTAATAACAGGCATAAAATACGTGTACAAAGGAAACCTAAATGATGAGCAACAGGTGCTAGTACCATCTAAAATTGACCGATGAGCTTCAACAAGTTCACGATTCCCAAACTACAAAGCTTCCTACTGAAGTTCCTTCAGTAGTATGAAGTTAAATGTCAAAACAATCCGCCGCGAATGCACCTGAGAGGTTTAGTTGGATGTAGCGCCGGTCTCTCCATTAAAAATGACTTACATGAAATGGTCTAACTTAGATCTAAGTTTCATTCCTTGTGTTTCTTATGTGAAATAGTATGCAATGAAATATTCAGTTTTACCAAATCGTCATTCATACTGCCACTGGAAGGGAAAAAATATACGGCTGCAGTTTGTGAATGCGGTAATGACAAAGCTCAACCTAAAAGCGTCACGTTCAATATCACTTCTTGTTTATCTTTTACTTACAGAAGTTCAGTGGCGCCAGTTTTATGTTAAACGATATCATATGTTCCGGGAATACGACCCACGTTGGTTGACGGACAAGCTGGCAGCGATTACATCAAGTCGCAAAGAAGTAAGCTTTCATTCATGAATTGATCTGTTAATAGTTCATCACGATTGTCATGCCTGCTGGCAGATTGTGTATCATAATCAAATTTCGCCATTTTCATTAGAAACTGAAACCTGTTATTGAATTTTGCACTAGTACAATGGTTTCCGAGATCTTTTTTGCTCCATTTTTCTTTCTCCTTCATACTCGAATCTCTGCCCATCGTTTGAAGAATGCATGAAATTGTTCTCTCTTAAATGGACGGTGGTTACCAGTCATTGGCACACACACTGTCCTAAGTTTAATGATGAACCTTCACAGACACGGTGGATATGCATTGCTGTCAATTCTCAACAAGGATGAAACTGCTTCTTTTCATCAACAGTCATTTTTATCTTTATATTTCCCACCAATGAAATAAAATTGATACTCACCCTGGTGATTGTCTTAAAAGGGTACAATGGTAAATATGTCATTAGTAAAATGACTATCAAGAATCGGAACTATTTTCAAAAGTGTGCACGGTAGTGTGTTAGACACCAAATTGTCTTAGCTCGTGAAGGGTCTACCGTTTTCAATTTTACTAGTTTTATGCCCTTAACTCGCTTTATTTCGATAGATAAGTTAACCATCAAATGTGGAAAGGAGAAAATGGTCAGCGAAGAGGCAGTTGTGCAACCTAAGGAAGTTAAAAGGTTTAACGGAAGTGATGGTGGCATTCATATACACCAATGTTCGATGCTATGCGTTCATCAGTGCCTTTGATTTCTGGAGGGAATCTTCAAACGCGTGATCATAATCACCCTAAATACTTAGAAGTCAATTCAGTACATCAGATAAAAACTGTGATGTATCTATAGCGACTACATAGATCGTATTTATAAGAATATACGGAAGACATTGCAAAGATGAAATTCACTCGCTGAACGTTTTCCTGATTTGCACAACGCTCGGCTTATGACTATTACACTGTAATTTTTACAAACATTGGGGCTTACAATTCGATTAAAACCATCACACGAACATAGTTGACGGGGGAACTGTTTACCACCGGCTTGTGATATTTCATAGTTTAAAACGAAGTTCACATGTCTCCAGCTCTTCGTTTGTGAATAAAGTTGGAATACAGGGTAAAAGTGAGTTTCGGGAAACGTTTATGCGAGGTGGCATATCCTCAGTGTTAACGTTTTCGACTACCAACAGTTACAGTTACAGCCCGAATCCCGACAGAGGAACAAAACACAATTTTGACGAGCCTCAGAAGTTCAACTGCAGCGGTTATTGCACGAAAAAGATGCTGATGACGGCTATCTTCTTTCATTTTAAGGTTGAATCTTCAAAAATGCTTTCATTACATTTTTGAAAACATTCAACGGATTTTCCATATCCTCCAGCAAATGCCATGAGGAATGACTCCTCAGTTAAGCAACTGGCTATGTGCGACGAAAGATATTCAAATAAAAATATTGATGAAAGGATACCCGTTGATATCAAGTCATCATGTGGAGTGAAATAGATCGAGATTCTATCAGCCCGAGTTTCGTATATTCGTACTCCGAATTCATGATCCAATTTTCCTGCTTAGAGACTGAACGTATTCCATGGGAGGAATTTCCTTTCCAGTATACGAACCATGCACTTATTGTGAGTTAAATAATGGGGCAAGAAGAGTATTACATAGTTCAAAGGGGAAATTCGCCGGGTATATAGAAAATGAAGCGTGAACTGAAAAGCTAAGAAGCACTGCAAGCACACGAAATAAGTATTCCGGTTTGATTTTTTCCAATCGAGTCATAACCCTGAAGGCCACTGCTAAGATGAGTAAGGTCTGTGGCCTGCAACAATCTCGCAAAGATGAGTTGTGCTTTATCGTGTAAATGGAAAATGAAAAACGGTCTGATCAGCCGCCCGGTGGCCAAGTGGGTAGCATGCTTGCGTACTGCCCATGAGGTCCTGGATGCGGAAGTCAGTTGGATCGATGAATCCGCGCTGCTGTTGAGACCCAACCAGGTCGAAATAGCTGTCCAGTGCTTCCTAGCTTTTCAGTTCACGCTTCATTCGCCATATACACAACCAATTTCCCCTCTGAAATTGAATCCAATTTCCCATTACTCACATGAAGTGATACACATTTTTGTCGAGCCGTGAACAATCTGTATTTAATGAGTGAATTGAACACCTCAGCAGATCTCGCATCATGAGCCCTCATGTCGATAACCGGAATAACCTGGGAGAACTTACGCAATTTGTGAAGTTATGCACACACAATGATCACCTATAAGCATCAGAAACAAAAATGACGTGACTGCCCATAGACTAAATGAACTGGTAATGTAGAAGAACAAATGTCATCTTTACGACGATAATATACATCCTATTCGTTGAATTATGTAGTAAAAGGTCTTTTAGGGACCTAACAAGTGACAATATTTTCATGAATAACAGTAGGGGAAACTATGCGAACTCGCGCAACCAAACTGGTCAATTTCTAACCTCATCGGAATTAGCGTAACTATTTAAATCAATAAAACAAAAAGGACACCCCAGCGGAATGTATACTTAGAGATGAAACGATTTTTGGAAGCATTGTTGAATGATGTCAAGGAAATCTTTTTAGTCCATGTCTAGATCGAACCGCATTTTCATCCAGTAGTCAGCCCAAGATACTCAAATTATGCAAAATCCCACTGATTACTTCTCTGGTTTATTTTTAAATCCACGCAGACGCCCTCTACTGTGACAGCAAACTCACAATTATGTTCCCAGTTCGAAGAAGAGTCTCGTATTCAAAGACGTGTACATGCATTCTATCTGGAATACAATTTCACCGATTTCAATCAGCTGGACTCGAGAAATACGGTCACACTGATCAGCCAAATGAGTTATCAACGGTAATTTATGTGCACTCAATGTGAATAAGCAACTTATAATTCACGTACTATTTTATCGACAAAGTGAATGGAAGCACAATCATTTAATTTCACCTTTTCACGCTAATGCAGATAGTTACATGTGACATTTGGTATTTCAGTTTTACTTTTTCCAGGTTGACTCAAATCCAAAATAACACAGAATTGAACTATTCATTATCCGCTAAATTTCGTAGAGTACCGTGCGATTAACACTTATTAGCTAATGACTATTGTTTCAACCTTGGTAATTCTGGTGAATTCTTTTCCGAACGCACACAAAACTCTTATCGGTCAATTTTTAATCGAACCCAAAGGTGATAGCCTCTGGTTTTCTTAACTTCCTCAACCACTCCACATTTTGGGATCGGTAGAGTTTGTGCTTAGGCCTATGAGTAGAATGCATCAACGAGATTTCTATTGAATACTACTTTACACCCAATCCATACAAACGACACATGATTTTAATTCTCCAAGTGATAGAAAAAAACAAAGTAGTCTAGACAAGTACTCTTGTATTGAACTAAACTGAACTATGTACATACCCCTAGTTATTTATAAAGTTTACACAGTTACTCAATAAACTGTAAAACTTCATTTTACTCTTGAAGCCAAAATACCTAAGTAAAAAGTTACTGCTCAAGTGAATTGGATGCAAGTCTTTTACCACAGTTTCCATCAAATCGATTCATCATTGCATTATTTCCTTATGAGCTCTGAATAATTCTTTGCTCTCCAAGTGCAATGCAGCTCCACGGGATTTGAAGACAAGCGATAAAATACCCGCTAAATACAAGCTGTTACAACCGCATTTTGAGCCGTTGGTATCAGACATCTGAACGCTCGGGTGTACAAAGGATATATATACAGTAGATGGGATAGATATAGAAAGGATAAGCAACATAGTTCCCGAACATATTGCTTTGTTGCCCCGATGGTAAATGTTTACTGATAGCAAACTGGATCTCTCGGTCGATCACTGCACTTGCATAGTTGAGGTATTTGTTCACTCTGGCTAATCTTCGCTTCCTCAGACAAACTATATTTTAACACCTCGTGAATTCTTACCTCAGTAATCCGGCGGTGACTTGTAACTCGTAGTCAACAATTGATAAACCCCTTATGACTACCAAACACCATTGATCCCGCTTCCTGTTCTACATCATTGCTATCTAACTGCAATGCAAAACTGTTGGCAATCAGTGAAACGTGCCTAATCAGTTTACATCATCCCGTTCTGTGCGCCCAAAACTTGTTGATGCAATCAGTTCACTTGCCGTGGAGTTGACCTCTCATTTTTAAGTGTAATAGCCCCTGTCTATACGAAGATATGTCTGTTCACTGGGACTTGCACAAAAAATGTTCTATAAATGTTGTTGCTTGTTTGACGTCAGCGAGTGAGAAGAACACACGGAATGGCAACATCTTGTGATCTATGTCTTCTTTTGGGTTTGAAGAGAAGAATGAAAAGTTCTCCGAGTTTTTAAGGCAAACTGAGTTTTTTCCTCACTCACGACAAACTGGTTGACCGTAGAGCCCTTAAAACAAACGGATTCAATTCAAAGAATCGCATTATTCTGTAACATTGTAAATTAAATCAAGAATTCAAATGAGGTCTATCCATTTTGCATTTACATTTGATCCCTTTTCTTGATTTTGCTTTCTTCGTTCGTCATTTTTCAAGGCTTCACCGTCTAGAACAACTGGTGTCCACATGGTCAGGCCCGATTAGTATTGCGCTTTACTTAACGGAACAGGAAGCCTACAATCTTTCCATCTTTGTAGCTGAGTCGGAAATCTTATCGCGACGACGAAACATCGGTTACCATGTCATGTTTGTTGAAGGAGTGAGTCATTTGTTTCACACTCAATTGATCGTGTGCATGTGTGCATAGTCCCGTGCATTGTCTTACTCGCACAGTGATTTTCACTTTAAATCTCTAATGCGTTTCCAATTAGAATCAAATTCATCCATTACAGCTAAACTTTTAAATGAAGTTAAGAGCCCGGGGGAGAACTCAATTTTTGTCTTCAAACGACAGAAATTTTTAAACCGGATCATTCTCTTCTGTTATTCCTTGGGTGGGAAACCTCACTCAAACACTGTAGTGAAATTCTGATTCTACTGGTTACATAATGTGAATACCAGGACGGATGTTAATGAAAACAGGAAAACCGACATTTGAATCACAATCAAAAATGCATACACAAAGCTTAATGTTTTATGCATTATGCACGACGATAAATTACCTGCATGTAGCCAAGCAAACGGATGGACAGGCAGGATTGTTTGATCTGTATTTATTGAAAACAATGAATGAGTCAGTAAGTTATAAGTGGTTAACACATAAATCAGTAGCATATCAGAATCATAGCCTTTATGAAGGTTCATGAGTGAACTGTGTGGCGAAAATCACTAGGCCTGAGATACATTTGCCTTTAGTATAAAACACATAAAATAATATGCTATAGTTGAAAATATCATATCAGAGTTTAACAGCACAACTGAGACAATTTATCGTTCTTAATTATTCATCACTCTTGATCAAGTTTTTCTTCCTCCTACCCCGGACAAATGCGATAAGAATAAATAAATGACGAATTTCGTCTCCCTTCAAAGTGATCGGGACAACCACTGCCTGATTGTATTTCAATATAATATCTAGAAAACTTTGTTTTGTTTTGCTTTCCATTTTACGTAGTTTTATCATATATATATATATATGTGTATATATGAACTTCTACAAAACAATTTTTGAAGGAGGCAAACTGGAATCTGTAATTTTGATCAGCTATAGTGGGAGCTGAGTTCCACACTGATAATCCATGCATCTTTGGCGCGAGCAATCTGGAGTTGAACTCCCGAATGGTCTGCTAGATAAACACGATGGATGAACCCTAAAAAACTTGAGCTTGTAGTACTCAATGAATGTTTAGCTAGGTAACTAGCAGAGGATTTTACATGACCGGGTAATCACAAACCATCCCACTTTGTTTTCGCTCAAACTAATGGCCCCAGTCGCTACCAGTGATCACTGTGTTCTCCTCTTAAGACCAGAGATATACTCCCGCTCTGCATATCCAACATTCATACGATCAAACCAGATAAGGTTTCATCTCCGTAACTTTTCATCAACCCGCATTTCTCTTCTTTGTCGTTCCATAACGGTTGCCCAATCTTCGTTTGCTTCTTGTTTATCGCTTCTTAAATGTATCAGTCTTTTCACCGAAACGATGAAATTGATTTTCCATCTTTGCTGTCCCATAGAAAAGGGGTTTGCTTGCAACGGCAAAGTTGCATCTCCTCGCTTGAACTCACTACGAAGGTAAAAGAAATGATTCTATTAATTTCACCATCCATTTGCTATAAAGTACCATTCTAACTTAACCAAGGTTAAGATTACATGTTCAAACAAGACGTTCGCTTCCCAAATCCTGCAAACGAAAAACACAAGGTTTCTCTGTCCAGGAATTCGTCTTCTCTGCGGACAAAAAAGGAAAAACGTGAACAGTGATGTTGATGTAAATAGCCTTAACGCTGCATTTCTTTATCCGTCTAGCGATACCCAGATACCTTCTTTCCCATGTGAGGCTTTCAGTTTTGATCTGTTCCCTTTTTCTAATGACAAAATTTTTAAGCTTCTACGTTCCTTCAAACCATCATTACCTGCGGGCCCTGAGGGTATTTCTCCAGCGTTTCTCAAGTTTGGAGCAGCCCCTCTAACTAGTGTGATGACATCCCTCATCAACGAGTCTCGTTCTGCACAGATGATCCCCGATTCCTGGCGACCAGTGGCCATAATACCTGTTCCAAAGTCCTCATCCTCAAACGTTCTTGCAAAACGTTTTCTTCCCATCGCATTGACGTCTGTAGTTCTAAAGTTGACTGAGAAAGCCATCCTGAGTTGCTTACAGTCACTTGTCATCATTCGCCATGATCCTCTTTAGTTCGCGTATAAACCCAACAAATCCACTTTGGAAGCTGTGTCTACTCTGGTCCATTTTATAATCAATTCATTAAACAGCTCTACTACATCTGTTCGTTGCGTTTGTCTCGATTATTCATCTGCCGTTGATTCTGTATCTCGATCATCCCTCCTTTGCAAACTTGAATCTTTTGACACCCCGAGACAGCTGCTTTCATGGCTTTCTGATTATTTCACCGAAAGAACCCAACGAACAAAGCTGGGCAGGAACAACTCAAGTCCTCTAGTCAATAATTCTGGTGTGCTTAAAGGTGCTGTCCTCTCTCCGTATTTTTTCTCTGCTGTCATTAGTGATCCTTCAGTTCCACACCCTGCTCATATCCAAAAGTATGCTGACGATGTCGTCAGACCGTCTCTTCCTCTTCGGAATTTTCTTCCTTCACTAAAAATCTGTCTCAATTTGACCAGTTTTCAAACAGGCCTTAATTTTAACACATCCAAGTGCTATATGGACTTTTGTTTCTGTGTGTATCGAATACTATAATATAAGATCTTTCATCTATTACTTTGAATTAATCGGTCATCTCTTGGGTGTTTCAACTAAAGGTGGATGTACCTCTTCTTTTTTCATTTCGATCTTTTAGTACTCATCAAACTCACAAAATAATAAATTTTGGTTCTGTTGTCGTACTTGAATTCATTTTTCTGTGAAGCATTTTCCAATCACTTTTCACAGAATTGCTGAAAGTTAATATTTAGCCATAGTTAGCCGTTTTCCAAAAAATGAAGAAAACGTTCTTTACCGGATGGTGACGATGATCATGGTCATGATGATTGGGCTCTTTCTGTCTCTTCATTTCACCTCAATGCCAATATACTCGGGAAGCAGTGAACTCAAGTTTCATTCCCAATAAATCAATATTTAGTCGCAATGACAAACGCGTCTTTCATACCATCTATCATAAGTAAGTTATTTCAAATGTCATTTACTGTTCCACAGTGAAAGGTTAGTGACTTCCTGATGACTTTCTGCTCATCAAGGTCCGAGTAAGAATAAAAGGAGATCGGCACCCACTGATGTATTAGCGTGAAAGCACGCAGTATTGTTGTGAACCTGATGGGTGCGAACCAGTTCGGAGTGCCTAGGAGTGTAGCTCATCAAACCAACATCTCCTAATGTGCCCTGCTCTGTACTGTTGACTTAAACCCTAAGTCTGCATGTCTGATTGATCTTTTAGAATTCAGATGGTTATCACTCTAGAACTAGGATGTACACACATGTGGCATGCATTTGTTACCTTTTCTGACTGTTCACTTACCAACTAAAATGTGGTGACTCATTAATGCTAAACACCTTTGTTTTTGAAAAAAAATGCATCAAAACCGTTGGCAATCATTCAATTCTACATCTCTTAGCGATTTTCTTTCCGTAAGTAAGATGACAGTTTGTGTAGTTCAAACTTAACTCTACAGTTTAAACTTTTTGGCGGGAAATCATATATAGACAAGACAGAAGCATTTGTTTAGTGATATTTTTATGCCATTTGGTTATACGACGCATGCTTGCCTCAACCAGGTCGGCCGCGAATTACCGCTTTTCAATTCATCTATTAGTTATTCAGTCGCTGAGTCGTCGGTAGGCATACGGCGTGTATAGGCTAACAGACTTCAGTCAAAAACACTAATTTACATAAATGCTTCTCACTGGAGGAAAGCAGATATTATCTGACTTTCTTATTTTTTTTCAGTCCATGTATCCCATCAATCAGCTGCGTAATTTGGCTCTACTTTACGCTCGCACTGATTTTGTCTTCCATCTGGATGTCGATTTCATTCCCAGTGCAAATCTGCATGATGTTTTGCAGAATCTGATCAAACAACGGTGGAGTAAGGTAAAGTCAGCAGTGAACTTACTGAATGCTTTATGGGGTTGGTAGTATATTTTTAAAGTCATCCTACTGACAAATACCAACTGGACTGTCATTTTTAAATTCGGTAGTTATTGTGCCTAATGAGAGGATTTGTGACTACTCACTTTGCACATGTTAGCTTTTCTGCAGAAATCCTGATTACTTATGCTTCCAGAGTTGGTGGTACACAACATATCATATGTTTTAATCTTGTAACATCAACTTGAACTATCAAACAAAACTGGTCTCTATCTCATAACTTCAAATTCACTATCAAACTGACTCCATCGGGCTGCAAATTTCACTTAAATTTGTTTTACATACCCAGAGACTCCTGCGTCTTTCACCAGGTCGATACCCAAATATAAACTTCATTGCTACCCCACGCAAAGTGTAACTCAGATGGTACGCTCAAACCTGACTGGTTAAACACAACAACCCGCCCATCTGGTAGCATGAAACGTCAGTAATTTGCCCCATATACTGCTTGGACGAGCGTTTGCGTTAACCGAGTTACTGCATGGAAAGGAATACCCCAAGGGTTTTATCTTTACCGTACGGACTGGATTATTTCTTCGTAATTATAATGGGACTGAGTCCTGAAATCGCCATGCTAATCTGGCCTATGGCTTACGTATTGAAAATCATCATGCCCGTCACTTAGACACGGCCTTCGGTTTACGCTAGTCTTAGTACTTCGCAAGACACATAGTGAACAACATTTTTAATTACTGCATAGACATTGTAAACTGAAGAATGTATGGTTTGCCGGTTACACAAGCCGTTTTATCACAGAATGGGAAAACAAAATTCTGGTGAAAATTGATTGTTGGCTAATTATTTCGTTACTGTTCTTTTTGTGAGTAAAATTGCGCTACTCATGAGTAACTGTGACTTGAATTATAAAATTACCTTGCCTTACTAATTGAATTTGAAAACCCAAAATTGCTAAGACGTAAAAATAATCTAGTAGCGATAATAGTAATGATAGCAGTAGCAATAATTGCGTAGTGATGAATTGGAACTGATGGAAATTTGCTTTTATTTCAATAATGCAGACAAATAACTCCAACTCAAGCTATGCGGAGGACGCGCAGCTTAGGAAAGATTGTTTTGTTGTTCCGGCCTTTGAGACATTCGACACTCAGATCCCAGTTCCACCGACGAAGCAAGACCTGTTGAACGCGTGGGGCCAGAACCGAATCGTTCCTTTTCGACACCAGATTTGGACTCGCGGACATCTAGCAACCAACTATACCCGATGGATAAGTGCGACCGATGTATATCAGGTTGGAATGCGTTATTATTTTAATTTTTCTACGCACTAATGTTTCACTATTTACCTACGTTCTTGCACGTTGAATAGGGAATAGATGACAATCTTCCATTTCCTCGCACTTTGGTCGCCCATAAGATGGCATAGTAGATGAGTGGTTCTACACGACCGTGAATTAACCTGAACAAAGTTTTCATCTCAGTTGATTTTGATGTCAATCAATGCATGTCATCCTACTTGTTCCACAACTTGCCTACAGACGCATTTTATTTTACTTCTGTTGTATCACATTTACTATAATGCTTTTCAGTGAAATATTTCTTCCAGATTTGGTGATTTTGTAGATAAAAGTTTTAGTGCTGTCAGATAATTGTTCCGCTCATTATAACCCGATGAACTTCGGATAACCAAAGCAGTTGGGTCTCAAATGTTTGACGACATGCAATTTTGTGTAGAGATTTCCTTCCTTTTTCTCTCCAAGATAAAACACCATATTTCTCAAGCATCTTCTCCAGTTTGGGTTTTCTTATCTGTTATTTATTGGCTTACTTCTGATTAGTGAGGAGACGCTTCGCTTAGTATTACTCCCCGGATTTTGAATATAAATTGTGTATTAAAATTATAATCGAAAGCATACGCAGACAAACTATGAGAAAAACCACTGGATACGCGTACATTTATGAACGGCAAATTAGCGGTGTTCTTTAATGAAGATTATCTAATGAATTATATACAATTTATTAATAATGACGGACATTACTTGAGTGAATACGATTTGTGTCCGAACCCAGTACGCTCTCGAAAGTTTAGCTTCTACTTGGGTGCTTCAACATTCATAACTAGTTACATCGTTCAAGTTTTTATTGTAATTTTGACCAATTTATGGATAGATTTTGTTAAATTTTACTTGCCCACATGCACAGTCCCGCAAATTTTGGCCTTAATATGATTCCAATGTCATCCCTGTCATTAACTTATTAATTCACGAACTGATGAAAATACACCTACCAGGACCATGAAGACTATTTTGGTTCGACTTTAACAGGTGTGATTAAATAATGTTTAAATATATGGTACCTTATTCAGGTTGTTTGGCTTCAGTAGTAATAAATATTCCTGTAATGTCTGATATAGAATTCTGGATAGTTGCTACACTTTATTTACCCTCTCAAGCAGTGAGTTCATCTAGTGTTTTTTACAGTAACTGTACTGTGGGACTTGAAGTAGACAAAAATCGAGCATCTTAGTTCTCGGCTACACAATTAGATATTCCCATGCCTTTCGCATCGAATAAGCCAATCGGCATTTACTTCAATTTCTCAGCAGCCGTACCTTTTGTTCATTGGTAAATCATTGATTGTTAGCCATCGTGAATCAAGCACGGGTAACTAACGAATTACACGGTACTAAAAACAAATCTTGGGTCTAATGGAGAGTTCGTTATTATCGTGATGTTCCATAGATTTATTGCTTTCTTTTGTGTTTTGTACCCAGTTCAACATTCATTTGAACTTTCGAGTTTATAATACAGCTGACGTTTTGTAAAATAAGCAAAAATATGACCCACTGTCATGTAGAAATATCTAATTATTTATGGAACTATCTTCGTCAACCTATCGCTCACCAAGAAAAGCGCGGCTCTTTCATTCTTGTTGGAATTTGGAAACTGTATATATCGACCGAATTTACCTGAATAAGAACTCCAGCATGAGCATCTGTTAACCGAAAGCGCTACCGACTTTAACCATCCAGGTTAGCTACAAAGCGGATTGCTGCCTTAAATAACGCTTATTTTTCACTGTGACCAAAAGTACCAGTCCCTACAAGACATTGGTGAACTTCCGCAGGCAAGGCTTTGCTGCACTGTCCGGGTTCGAGTTCCAATGGGCTTAATGGATGTGATAACAAACAGCAAAACGACGGTAGTGTACAGTGCATTCCAGGCTTGTAGTGGTAAGTTAACTTTGCGTGACAAATATACTGTCACAAACAAATAAAATCACCAAAACCGTTTCTTCTGAATGGGCTAATCACTTTCTTTGTTTGACGGTTATGAAATGCGTTGAAAACTTGGCTCAACTTATTCTTCGCTGAGAATCGGATCATATTACGCTTTTGATTTGCAGGCTTAAACACAGACAGTGCGGACCAACAAAAGAATCGTTTTTGCTGTGTCCGTAGAAGTTTATGAGAATAGTACACTTCCCTTCATTTTGTATTTCACGGTAGCACCTAAATAACAATACATTTTGAAAACAACGCCCTGGATTAAAGGAAAAACATAAATACAGAAAATCATATTTATTACTCATTTATCTTGAAAAAGGTGTTTCATACTATGACTCGTATAAATTGTTTATTCTGTTTCTTTAGGTCCAGTGGTCAGCCGATTACGAACCCTATGTGGTCGTCCATCGGGATGCCCCCAAGTTTGATGCACGATTTGTTGGGTTTGGTTGGAATAAGGCGTCCTACATCATGAGTTTGGACGCTACCGGCTATCGAATGTTCGTGTTGCCTGATGTGTTTGTGCTTCATTTACCTCACTCACCAAGTGTAGAAGTCCTTCGATACCGATCAAGTTTCATCTACCGGTATGTTATCATCTTTTCTTAAGAAAACGTTTGTACCCTAACATCCTCCTTTACTTATTACGTCTGGCTTATCGACAACTTGGTCATGCCGAGCAATTCAGGTTGAACTACAGTAAAAGACAACAGGCTCGCTGTGTGCGAATAAACTGGTAAACCAACGGAAGTGTGGTGTTGATAATAAATAACTTATCTCGAAAATAATTTTCCAAGAGTCTGTATTTCAGTTTCGTTTCACGTAATGCATTGTATTATCTTTTTAATGACAAATATATTTCATCTGCATCTGAGTGAACTGTGATTCCAAAACCCGGTGTTACTGCATCCCTACAATTTCTTCTGGAAAAAATTAACTTTAATCCAGCTCCATGTTGCCTTTACAACAACAGTGTTTTCTGTTTTATTATCTTGCGTCTCAAGTTTCATCACTGAAAATTACATTCTCTTACATAGTTGGTCATTCACTTACATACTCCATCACAATTAGGGATTAAGGGAAGGTAAAGAAATAAACGACTAGATGAAAGAATATCGGATAAGCGAACCTGACGAGGGAGCGAACCCCGTGAACCCGGTCGTATGTTTCCAAGGAAATTTTTCCATTGGTTCACATACTACTTATTATACTGATAAGAGATGTTCAAAGAAAATTCCATTCAACAATATTAAATGAATGAGTTTCTTCCAGATGGAAGTGTATTTGTCACTAACGCGTTATTGTCGGTAGAGGTGACAATAAGCCGGCCATCTGGTTACCGTTGGTTACCATTTTACAGGAAACGTTTAGATTTTTTTGATTGAAAATTACCTTGAAGTAGGTGTCCCGCGGTGCCCGGCACGTCGCCTCATTGTCACCTCTACCGCCAACGCCGTGTTATTGACAAATATATACGTACGCATTGCGTGGAATATCGTTTCTGTTCGATAAACTCAAAATCTGGTTAGGATGGGAAACAACGAAACAACATATACTTACACGTTACTGTATAGGTTGGCACGGGTCCTGCAGTGTAGTTCGTCCGCCCATCGTCCCTTATTTTGTACCTCCAAACCCCACCCTCGTTGTTCCGCCTGCACACTTCCGATTTGGCAGCCAGAAAAGACCGCGGCTCTCCTTCGTAATGACTGACTGTATATTAAATGAGTGGATGTAAAAAGATCACAATTAAGTAATGCTTTATGTAATATAACGCTGCCCCCACCACAAGACGACCAAACCTGGATATGGCATATTTTCACATGACTCAACCAGCCGATGAGTCCTAAATGACTATTTATATTAATTAGAAATTTAGCCTGATTTACAAATTCTCTAATGTGTATTCAAGAAGCAATCAGCTTTACATACCCACTCAAAGGTATCTGAACGAGTTTGCCTACAGGAATCAGTATTCTGAGCTGTAGAAACGCGACTATACATTAACGCGAAGAACAACAGTCTGGTAATCTGAGCCGTTCAATAAATAAACCCACTATAAGAGATTTCTGAAAGATTTTTATGGTAAGCAAATTTAAAATGATGTTACTTGTGTTTAACCTAACTATTTCCAGGCAATTTGTCCGGTCAAGCATACGATTTGCCTTCTTATTGATTATTTTATATAACAATTCCACTGTTGTAATTCAAATAAGAGCAGTGGTGTACAATGTAATAATGCCCATCTTCGAAACATGTTGGATGCATCAGGTTATTAGTTTAAAAAGCCCTCTAAATAAGGTTTCGGTTATACTTACGTACTGAACAGACATATCAGTAGTAGTTGGCGTTTATTGCTTTCGAATAGTGAAATCTTTCAGGGAAAATAATCACAGATTGCGATAAGTAAAGTAGTAACGGATGTCATTTACACGATCTATCCCACTTATTCATTGTCCCTGAACAACTTATCTGATTTTTGCAAGAAGCATCACGTACGTGAACATACGTCTTCTGTATTTTTGGGGGATGCATACAAAAAGAGTTTTGTACGCAATACTATCCATCTTTGGCCGTGAACTTCAAGGTTTCCGTATGATACCAAGGAGCCTAAATACCTCAGCAAGTTCTTAAGCAAATTGACTGTTAATATCCTTTTGGCTAGCACATATCCTTGGCATCAAACTGACTGACTAAGAATGAGAAAATGTCGGCATAGCGTTTTTCATTTGTAGCTATCAGCTCCCTCATTTTAGCATTTTATCTGTTTAACTTTTAAAGAACTAATATCCTCTGAACTAATCAGTTTTACCGAATGGAAGCTCGTGCGGTTGTAGGTAATAATTATCAAAAGGGGGGATTCGTCAGTTGTTCTAAACCAGTTCCATTCAAAGCTACATTTTTGCTATCTTTTCTCGTTTTTTTAGACATTGCATCGACAAAATGAAATTGGAATTCATAAAACAGCTTGCCAAAGAACACGGAGTCCTTGCCTTGAAGTACTTGGATTTTCGCAAGTTTGATGTCAAACCGGAATCCAGATTGTCGTAATGAAACTCACTGCCTCCATCTAACTGTACATTTGAAACTCAGATAGACACCATTCGAAACAGAGCTTTCAATAATAATCTCATTTATTTTTAAATATGTTGAAAACTGAATAAAATATTTTCATTCACTGTCTTTTATTGGTCACCCAACGTTGCTCTGATGGAGTCATTCATCGAAATGGTTTTCAGTTCACATCGGAAAAGAATATAAAAAATACATTTCGTTTGGTATTTAGGCCTTGGATTCTTATTTTCTGCTGAATTGAGCCTTTCCAACCGGGAAGATAGTTTCGCACACAAATTTGGGTATTTTGAAATCCGGATTCTGGAGGATGCTCATTGCTACCAGATAACATGTGACGGGGAACAAACTAGCCTTTACGAACAGTTTCTTTCTCTTATCTGTAAAAACCCTAAAAACATATATGTATCACTTTCTCGTCTGCTTGTGAAGAATATTTTTGGCGCAGTTTTGTTGGATAAAGCTTATGCGCTGAATTTTCAAAATTGTCTTCAATTTCTCAAATTTTAGTTTTAGCAATGAAATAAAATTGCACAGATTTGAACGAATTGGACAGAATGAGTCATTTTTGTTGTCACGGTTCAAAACCACTACATATGAATGTGATACTTCGATTAGGTAATTACAATGTATCACTTGAGCTAATCTAACCTCCGCGATCGTATGAAGTGGATTGGGTACATCATGAAGCACAACTACCATTCTGTTTTCTCTTTGCCTGACCCCTGCACAGACGTGTTTCATAAGAATGCCATTTTGCAGACTTGAGATTGTGCCAGGGGAAACCTAAATTCCCCCGTTAATTTCCACTGTATCAATTTGATTTGGATTTGGACCAATCGACACCGTGTGGAAGTGCCGGTATTTTCTCGATTTTACTGGATCCGTGGGACCCGGGGTACCGGACAGAATACCGTAATCTGATGAGGCCATTCCTTCCTCAGCGCTCCCGTATTTGTCATTCCTGAATAATCTGGATTGAACGCAACCCTATAAATATATCACTGTACTCTGTTAGCCAATGCACTTTCTGGCGCTTTTAATAAACGCATGCACTGTTTTGCCCTTGTCTTTTGACTGGAAGCGTTGATAAACGTATCACGCGACCTCATTCAGTGATACACTAGCTGTCAAAACGAATGCACCAAACCAAAACCTTATCTATAATTTGAAATCAGTCGTGGACTTTATTGAAAACTGCAATGATAATTAAAACTGAACCAACCTCCTAATCTTAATGAGCGTTTCGTTTTTTTCCAGTTGCTCACAGGGAAAACCGATTTGCTTTTCTCATATTTTATAAGTATCATCAACCTAGCGACATGGGGCCTAGATAAGCTCTGGTTTGATGAGCAATCCTGGTTTTTTTAAGCACACCCAAGAGTCCGCAATAGCTCCTCTGACCATTGTTTCCCGTGAATTCTCTCTGCCTAACCTGGGAGCAAAACGTCTGCGGACCCCATTTTCAGCTCAGAGAGTACACCAACATTTTTTTGTGAATGTTGTTCGGTTGAATAACTCAAATCCTTTTCCAGTTCTAATCAAACATATTTTTTAAATTAAAAATTTTTAGTTGATTTCTACTGATTGTTGCATATTTTGATGCATGAACCTTCTTATTGTTGTGAGGCGCTTTCAGATTACTTCAAATTCTGTTGCAATTTATCCTGCCCGGTCGAAAATATTCATGTTCGGAGTTGATCCGTTTCCTTCTGCTTTTCTCACGCGCCTCCCTTGGAACGATGGACGGACATGTGTGTCCGGAAAGCCCAATATTGTCAGCACGATTACGTGTACTTACGTACTTCTGAACGATTATACTTGGTTGCATACTTCTTCATCATAAGCTCTCGCTATTTGGTTTCGTGGAACCCCGTAACTATGCTCACCAGCCCCCCCTTTCAATATTTGATTCTTTTGTCTGTGTCACACACTGTATTGTTCGTGCTTGAAGAAACGATTTTGTTTAACTTTTTGCTTAAGTAAATGTATTTGGGCCAGTGAATCCAAATGCACTTCATCTTTTCTATGAAAGAGACATGTGTTGCAGTGTGCGAAATATTTCACGTAATTAAGTCCTGCGGTTCCTAACGTTCACTTTTACTAATGACTACTGTTTTTCAGGGTCCTTTTTGAGCTTCTTCCTATTTCTGTTATTATCTACATATCTACCATTCGCCCCTGATAATTCATTCGTTACAAATGCGCTGATTATCTCGTAGCTGGGAATCCTTACATTGATGCTACTTGTTTTTTGGATCCCGTACGAAAGACGATTGTTCCCTGAGGTCCATATTACATTCGCCCAAATCACGTATTCTTAAACGCGTTGGTGTACCTTGTAGCCTTGATTGCGATACCCACTTCTTTCTGATTTACAGTGATCCGTCATTCCATGGTGTTTTAACTCATTCCGTTCTCAATGCCACCAATGTCAAAAACCTTGGCCTAACCCTTTTCCACAACTTTTATGGTGCCATCATATCGATAATATCTGTTTTTACCGTTGAGTGCCATCTTTTTTTGCAATCAAACCTTAGAAGCTTGGCCGTTCTCAATAATTTGTTACATGATTTTTTATTGTATGCTGTTTGCCCAATGGTTGTACTACACTCAATTATTTTATTGGTCTAAATGTTAAGGATTTCGTCCTGACTTCTACGTCCCTTAATTTCCTGTGCAAAATCACCGACTTACTGTTTGTTTCCCTTCTTGAGTTTGTCCAGAACATTCATGTTCAATTTTCCAAATGACTATTGTCCAGCAGAGGACAGTTTGCACAAATCGTCCAGGACATAAATCATGTAACGTTGCTATACTGGTTTCTCTTTTCAAATTTATCACGGGAAAATCGTGTTTCAATAACTAAAGGACTGTCTACCACAATAGCCCGAGGTGCTCAATATCTGCCTTTCTGTCGATGTATTGCCCTCGAACACTTGCAACCGTGTTCTTTTTCATGACACCATATGGTGTGTAGCATGCCCCAAATCAACCTGTCTAGAGCGCCTAGATTTTATTTTGATCTGGACTAAACTTAATAACTTATAATCAAAGACCTAAGAGGCATAATTATTCATTTTTCACGTTCCCTAACCAGAAATGGGACAGTTTTTTGCAGTTGTAATCGAGATTTATGATTCCGCATTTCGAAATACAATAATTGTTTTCCAGGTTAAATGAAATTGGATGGCATGCTTAACCCACGCAACGAACACAAATTTAAATTTTACACTCCTCAGCCAACTCTGTAATTGATCATCAGAATTGACTTACTCTAGAGGCTAATTAGTGCCGTTTCTGTCGTTGATAAAAAAGCAAACAAGGTGGTTACCAGTTTTGAAATATTGTTCTTTTGTGATACATCCGTTGCATCTAATGTAGCTTTTACCAAAATTGCTCGATTTCGTCCTTGAACCTTGCTATTCTATCCGGATAGTGTTTCGCATTTTTCCACTCCACATTTTCCTCCGCTTACACATGGCTATTTTTTTCCTAAAACGATCATAATTCTCTCACTTCTATTTCCAACGAAACAAAAGCAACAGTGAACAGCACTGATCTTGGAATCTGGTTATGTCGGCTNCAGAACTAATACTGTATTTGTGACTAACTTATAGTGTCGATGAAATCAGATAGACGGTATGTGAATGAACCCACCAATAATTTTCTTGTAGATCCTTTAGTTTTGTAGGGAAAATGGCGTTTCGAGAATTCATAATACGCGAACCGATGTAACTGATTGATTAAGATTGTGTAACTGATAGCGTAGGTAGAGAATATGCGTTTCAGAGGATATATTGATTAAGTTATAAATTCGCAATTCATCTCCGAAGCAATTAGGCCTATGTTATGACAGTACAAAGATAAACCATTGCTGTGGGAGATTTTATGCATAAGAAGTGAATGAGGTCAGATTGATAGACATGCATACATCTTTATCTTGACACAAAAATGGAGTCGCTGCTATTTTACACAGAGTTTTGTCAATATGAGTAGATCACTTGAGATTTTCAACTGAAGAAACGCTAAGGTAATTGACATCGTAAACAGAAGTGACGCGAAACCATTAGTGCGCAACCAGGAACACATGCCTCCTCCTTCTTTCAAATATTTACCCATGGTAAATGGGAGTAGGATGTCACTTTATTTGGAGGCAATAATGGTTAACGAAGCGGAAGACGACCTATACATAATGAACGGTATAGATTGTTGAAGTTATGGGTTCACTCTAGATTTCCGTCTAATACAGAACAGACTGCGACGCCACCAGCATATTGAATTATCAACTTGTCTGTTGTGAATAATAAATAGGTCCCAAATGTAAAAGTGGGGACAAAAGGTGCTCAGTAGCTCCCAAGGAAGGAGATTAGATTGAGAAACATTGGGGGATGAATTACCAACAAGTATTATTTGACTTATGCTAAAGTAAGACTCCAGGTAGTCAAGCAGCTTATAGAAATGAGATTAAATTGGAACGATCACATCAGTTCACAGTATTACTATATTCCAGGAACCACTTGCAATCTTGCCAGAAATGGTAAAATTATAAAAGCTGAGTGAATGGGACAGGTAATCGTTTTTTAAGCAGATCCTTTGCGACTGTAGGGAAACTGGTTATAATTGTAATACTTTGTGTTGATACGTGCTGAAATAAATCTATGTTAAACAATAAAATATATGTGCAGGCAATGAGTCGAAATATTTTAGCTGCTATTTTAGGGTGGAGATAATACACTCAGTTCTTCTATCACGTGGGTTTTTCCAGCCATGGATATGTTGTTAAAACTGAAGTGGTCGGATTGGTTAGCGTAAATGCATGTTTTTGAAGACCAGTGGCTAAAGTTCAGCAGAGCTTGATGCTTCGTGAGGTTGAAAGGTTTTGAGCAGACAATGACTCGACTTTGGTTAAAAGGAAAATAAGTTAATTCTTTCAGTAGAAACCGAGCGTGCTATTCATTTCTGCTGTTACTACCAGG